AGAGGACCCAGGTTGGATTCCCAGCACCCACATGGTGGCTAACAACCATCCATAACTTCAGTTCCAGGGGCTCTGATGCCCTCTTCTGACCTCTGAGGCACTGCATGACATGGGTGCACCCACCTACATGCAAGCAATATACTCATACACATAAATAAAAATAACAAATACTTATGGGCTGGAGAGATGGATCAGTGGTTAAGAACACCGGCTGTTCTTGCAGAGGACCCAGGTTCAAATCCCAGCACCCACATGGCAGCTAACAACTATAACTCCAGAGGATCAGACAGCCTCTTTTGTCCTCCATAGGCATTGCACGATATGGGTGCACTTACCTACATACAGGTAATACATGCATACACATAAAATTAAAATTTTTAAATAATACTTATTTAAAAAGAGCCTCAGTTGGGCATGGTGGATTAATCCCAGCACTTGGGAGGCAGGGGGATCTCTGTGAGACCAAGGCCAGCTAGGGCTACAGGGAGTCTCCTTCTCTCTCTCTCTCTCTCTCTCTCTCTCTCTCTCTCTCTCTCTCACACACACACACACACACACACACACACACACATACACAAAGAGCTTCAAACCTGGAATCCTCTTACCTTGGCCTCCAAAGTGCTAGAGTTACAGACGTGCACTACTATGCCCAGCTCCCAAGCCATTAATGTCTGAAGCGATGTGTCACATAACTGATGCTGGGGATGTAGCTCAGGGGTAAAGCAATGCACTTTAGCACCAGCCTTGGTTCCCTTCAGCATTAAGCCCCTGCTGCAGAAAGCATCTGCCTGAGAGGCCCTAGAGAAGTACTCCCTGGTTTATGCCAACCTAAGATGGCACTAGAGAGTGATAACAGTGAGAGTTGGAAAGCATCAACAGAATGCCAAGAGTGGTGGTGGTGGTGGGGAACGTGTCTTTAATCCAAGGAGACAGAGGCAGGCTGATCTCTGTGAGATGGCGGCTAGCATGGTCTAAATAGTGAATTCCTGGTCAGTTGGGGCAACAGGAAGACCCTGTCTCTAATAATAATAATAATAATAATAATAATAGTAACAACAACAACAACAAAAACAATAATAATGGGGCTAGAGAGATGGCACAGCCATTAAGAGCACTTACAGTTAGTTCAGAGGTGCTGAATTCAGATCCCAGCACCCACATCAGGCAGCTCACAATGCCTGTAACTCCAATGCCTCTGGCCTCCACAGGTGCTTGCACTCATGTACACACACACACACACACACACACACACACACACAATTAAAAAGAATAAAAAATTAAAACAAAACCCACAAACAAACAACAACCAAACAGAATGACAAGAGCTCTCGTAGGCTAATTAGACCCTAGTGGTGCCTGAAGCTGCCCCCTGTCCTTTGGTGCCCCTGGTTCCATCCCAACACATTATGAGAGAGAGAGAGAGAGACAGAGAGAGAGAGAGAGAGAGAGAGACAGAGAGAGAGAGACAGAGAGACAGAGAGACAGAGAGAGAGAGAAGCAGAAATAGCCACCAGCCTCCTATGCATTAGGAACTGAACAAAATGCTTTATTTTTTTAATCTTCATTTTACAAATGAGGAAACTGAAGCTCATAATCCCTCAAGCCATGCATCTGATAAGCGGCAGAGCTGGGATTTGATGCATGCCTTCCCCATTTCCTGTTACCTATTTCACCCAGTGAATCTGGGTTGGAAGTGTGCTTAAAAGAGAAATTATTTCCAGGGGTCAACAAATATTAGGCCACATTTTGAGAAGGAAAAGGATGTGAATTAGTTGAGTCCCAAAGACCTTTTTCTTCAAAGTGTCTATTCTAGCCCTTCTCAAATGTTCTGTGAGAAGTAAGCTCCTGTGTGGTAAGAAACCTACCATATGTCATAAATTAGCTTCTTACACAACTAGTTCTTACACAACATTACTACTTATGTACCATCCTTGAGAAAACTGAGAAATTGAAAATCACTTTTACAGATAATGCCCTTATGGAACTCCTGTTTGAGATTGTAGGAGAGAGTCAGGCATGGTGGCATAGGTGTTTAATCCCAGCACTCAGGAGGTAGAAGCAGGCGGATCTGTGAGTTTGAGGCCAGCCTAGTCTACATAGTGAGTTCCAGGACAGCTGGGGCTACAGGGACACCCTGTCTCAAAAAATGAGAGAGAGAGAGAGAGGAGGAGAGAGGAGAGAGGAGAGAGGAGAGAGGAGAGAGGAGAGAGAGAGAGAGAGAGAGAGAGAAATGTAGAGGAGCAGTCAGGCAGGCAGCCATGGCTATACACAACAGCAAAGAACTCCACCCCCCTGAAACAGGTCCAACTCAGGAAGTAGTGGAATACTTGCAGTTACCATGCCCTAAGGGTCAGTCAGAACTCAGCCTCTGCTATTTACTCAACTACTCACAGGCCCACCATTGAAGTTCGCACATCTTCAACATCCTGGCAAAGGAATAAAATCTTGGGGCTGAAGAGGTGGTTCAGTGGATAAGAGCACTTGTTGCTCTTGCAGAGGACCCACATGATGCCTAACAACTATAACTCCAGTTCCAGATGATATTATGCCCTCTTCTGGCTTCTGTGGGTATTGCATGCACCTGATGCACCTACACGCAGAAAAAGCACTCCCTGTAGCCCCAGCTGTCCTGGAACTCACTATGTAGACCAGGCTGGCCTTGAACTCACAGAGATCCGCCTGTCTCTGCCTCCCGAGTGCTGGGATTAAAGGCGTGCACCACCACACCCGGCAAAATATTTTTTTTAATGAAATAATTTTCTTGCTTTTTTTCAGAGACAATCTCCACACAACCCTAGCAGCCTAGAACTCTCTATGTAGACTGGGCTGGCCTCGATCTCACAGAGATCTGCCTGCCTCTGCCTCAACTGCTAGGATTAAAGGTGTGGGCCACCACACTTGGCTCCAAAATACTTTTTTGAAAAGAGGAATAAAATTTTCATATTGAACAAGATCTCTAGTCATTGGTCATCCTTCTGCATTTAAGGAACACCACCCTGAAATTCTTACTGCTTTTATTTATGCATTTGACACTTATGGAATACTTTCTGAGCTAAGACCTACTATGTGCCTGGGACTATAATTTCTTTACTAATTTCTTATGTATTTAAAATCTTAAACAACTACTCATACACATTTTGAAGTTAAAATAAAGAGAACAAATATCAGGTATCTCCCAAAGAAGTGGCCTCATGCTAGGTAAAGAATTCTTGTGTCGGAAATCTGCATTTTGGCTTTGCTGTCATTCTGGTGGAAAAAGCAGTTCAATTGCTTTCTCCATTTTTTCCTCTATAACTGCATATTTTCCAAATCATAATTTTGTGACAGAAAATCGGAGATACATTTCCAATTTGCTAAAATTTCCTCCCCCGTTCCAGCAGGTGAAGAAGTGTGGACTCCCTACTCATGCTTCTCTTAGGGAAGAAGGATTGCAGTTAGCCAACATTTTCTTCCCTTCTCACTGCCTTTGCTCCTGGCTCTGGATTTGCCACCCTCCATAGACTGAATCCTTCAAGCAGTTAAATTTCTATTTCTCCCATTAGAGACTGATGATCCTCTTCTCTGTCCTTCCTCACATACAGCACACCTAAATTCTAAGGCTCCTGTATTTTGGGAGGCATTTATTACAGTAATATCTCCCTCCTGCAGACCTCATCACTTAACACAGCTCAAGCCTACTAGGAAGGAAACAGAAAAACCCAAATAATGGTCAACTCTGAGGACTAATGCGCAGGCTTTCTTTTTGTTTACAGGAAAGCTCCTCCACCATCCCCTTAGGATCTTTTCAGTTTAAACCCTTGGTATATTTTTCTTTATTTCAGGACTGAACCTAGGGCCTCCCATATTCTAGACAAGTGCTCTACCACTGAACCACATCCCCAGCCAAGGTCTTAGGACATTTCTGTTAACTGGCAGTCTAGCCTATTCACAGGTAACATTTAGAAACAGGAGTGATCCTTCCTAACAAGTAAATGTAAGGACTTTACAAACACAACTTTTAGATCTCAAGTATCTAGTAACACATTCTCTCTCCAAAGTCCCTAAAAGGGGCTAGTGAGATGGTGGAGAACCAACTCCTGCAAGCTGTCTTTTGACCTCCACACAAGAGCCCCTCCAAACACACGTGATCAATACATAAATACACAAATAAATAAACACATTTTTAAAGCCCCTTAGTAAGTGTACATGGTATAAAATTTTATGTTCATAATTACCCTCAAGGCTATAACTGGAGGATCAGCACCTCCTTTCACAAATAAGTGAACAGAGGTCAGAGAGCAAACATATTCAGACCTGCCCTGCTTATAAACTGGAATCAGTTGGATTTGAATCCAAATGTTCGTGCGTGGAAAACAAGTTGTTTTATTTACACTTTGGATGCTTCTGGTTCTTGCTTTAAAAGATAATGGACACCAAGCACTGTAATCCCAGCACTCAAGAGGCTGAGGCAGGGGGATCTGGAGGTTCGAAGCTGCCTGGGCTACATAGCGAGAATTTGTCCAAAACAAAGCAAAAGACAGTAACGTGGACAACTTGGCAAATGCAGAGACTGCACAACGAGGGCGGCTTTCATTGGGTGGTCTTAGCCCCCGCAGGCGGAGGAACCCAGCCTGAAACAGTAACAGGCTGGAGCCCAAAAGGCGAGGCCGGGCAAGACCGGAGAGAGGAGGGGCGCGAAGCCCGTACTGATTGGCCCGTTCGCCTGCCCGCCGCCACAAGGCCCCGCCCTCCGGCACGAGGCCCCGCCCCTGCCCGGCTCCTAGCTTCCCGCCCGCGAGCGGAAGGAGGCGCTCCCGGGCACGCGCGCACGCCTCCGCCCGCCGGAGTTCTCTGGGATGGAGTCTTTTTGGGACCACCGCTTTTGTCCTCCCGGCCACCCAAGTGGCTGCAGACTTCCGGATGGCACCGGCCGCAGCCCCGCCCCCTATGGATCCTCCAATCGCTGCGCTCGTAAGGCAGGAATGGGTGTGGCTTGAGAAATTCGAAAGAAACCCCGCCCCCCGGGAGCCAGTTCCCAGAAACCGGGAGGTTGTAGGACAAGAGCGTCCTGCGTGGACGGTAAAGGCGGGGCGGGAAGTGGAAATGGAGTGTGGGCTGGAGGTGTGGTGTGGATGTGCTGCCGGGGAGTGGAAAGGTGGCTTGGGGGAGAGGAAAATCTCAGTTAATGATAAGGAGACAGGTGGGATGCTCATGCCGGCCCAGTGTGGAGAGGCCGGGGTGCAGGTGGACGGACTGCCCGTTAGGTGTTGAAGCAGAAGCTCTCACCTTTCCCAGATAACGGGCTAGATCCAGGGGCAGGTGGTATTCACGGGCTCCTGCTTTATCTCCAGCATGCCCTTCACCCCTAATAATGCACCCCTGAGTCTAGCTGGGGGCCTAGGGAACGATGATGGATACCTGAGGATAGGTATGGTGTCTTTCCAGCTCAGATCTAAGCTGAATCGTTTCTGCTGGCTGGGCATGGAGGATTTGAAAGAAGGTAAGGAAGCCATGAAGGAAAGAATGAGGGAGGCCCTGAGAGCTTGTCAGGGATTGGTAGCTGGCAATATTCTTTTCATCCCTTCAGATGTCAAGTTTATTATGGATGAGACCTTGGACTTTGGAGGGTTGTCCCCATCTGACAGGTACCAGTACCTTTATTCTGCTTATTATTTTCCTCCAACAATACCTTTTTGCCTGTAACCCCTTACTGCTGAATTATTATCTGCCTCTGAAAACAGGGTTAGTAATTTAGCAAGGTTTAGTGTACTCTGACTGCTGGGAGTCTGGTGGAATTGGTGGACATTTTTGGGCCACTGGTGAGGGAGAGAGAAGAGAGAAACTGGAGGGTAATTTTAGGGTAAATGTAAATGAAAGGTAAATGTGCCTGGGCATGTTGAGGCATGCCTATGGTTTGTGCAGGGTTTGCAGACCACCCCTTCCCCCAAGGAGAGAGGCCAGAGTGCACTGCTGTATCACACACACACACACACATACACACACACACACACACACACACACGGAAGGTGGAGGTAGGGAGGATTATGAATTGGAGGCCAACCTGCTCTACAGAGTTGAGACCTTGTCTCAAAAGAGAAAGAGAGAAGGAAAAGGCTTGTTACTCAGAGACAAGAGAGAGGGAGAGAGGAAAAAAGCTTGTTACTCTGTTAGTTACAGAGGCAGGTATCGCCTCACCTAAGGGAGTTCTTATGGCCAGAATGGGCATCAGGGTTTGGGGTTGTCCCTGGATGCCATCTGCTGTCTTTTGTGTGGGCAAGTTACCCTTTCTTTTTTCTGTCTCAGTCATGAGGAGGAAGATTTAACAACAGTGGTGGTGACTCCAGAAAAACCGCTTCGACGGGGCCTCTCCCACCGGAGTAACACAAATGCAGTAGCTCCCACTCTCCAGGGTGTGAGGCTCAGCTTAGGCCCTCTCAGCCCAGAGAAGCTGGAGGAGATCCTCGATGAGGCTAACCGCCTGGCAGCTCAACTAGAGCAGTGTGCCCTGCAAGAGCGGGAGAGTACAGGGATAGGCCCTGGAAAGCCCAGCTCTTCAGGGAAGCCCAGCCCTCGTCGTGAGACCTTTGTGCTGAAGGATAGCCCTGTCAGAGATCTGCTACCCACGGTGAGTTCTTTGGCTTGGAGCACACCATCCCCAAACAGCCTAACTCGTCTTCGGAACAGTGATAAAAAGGGGTCGGCCAGGGCTGTTCGGGTGACATCTGGAAAGAAGCCCTCCAGCACAAAGAAGGTGAGTTTAGAAGGGTGAGTTGCATGTGTGCCCCAAGACACAGTGCATGAAATTCTACAGGCAGAGTGGTTTCCTCATTGGTCAAAGGGAGAGAGAATTCTACCTCAGGAATTGTTAGAATTAAGTAAGAAAGTTGTTTGGGGAATATAGCTTAGAGGGTAGAGTATTTGTCTAGCATGCACGAAGCCCTGAGTTTGGTCCCCAGTGATGTATAAATGATGTGGTACTGTTTACTTGTAATCCCAAGACTCTGGAGGGAGATGTAGGATGATCAGGAATTCAAGGCTCCCCTCAGGCATAGTGAGTTTGAGGCCAGCCTGTGCTATATGAAACACTTGTCTCAAAAAATAGTGATAGGCCAACAAGATGACTCAGTGGGTAAAGGTGCTTACCACCAAGCCTGACTACCTGAGTTTAATACCCAGTACTCACATGGTAGATGGTAAGAACCAACTCTTATAAGTTGTCCTCTGACCTACACATAATGCTCATGTGCACACACACACACACACACAATTAATTAATTAAAACTAACAACCTTAAAAAGAAAGCATTTATCACAAATTTTGTTGGCAGTTAAAAATCTCTTCCTCGCTACACCCTACTTCCTACCTCTTTTTCTTAACGCCTTAAACTAGCAGAGCAGATACTGTCTCCACTGTAGTCCTTTTTTTGTTTCTTTCTGTTTCAGGAATCGCCTACGTGCAATCTGTTCCCTGCATCCAAAAGCCCAGCATTGTCTCCTCTTGCACGATCAACTCCTCCATCCCGGGGGAAAGCTGGGCCCAGTGCAAGGGCAACAGCAAGTGAGATCCAGGCAGCAAAACTGTGGACAACAAGGGTTAGGGGTGAGGGGTGGGAGTAAGAGGTAGATGGAGGGTGAGGCGGAGAAAGAAGAATTAACCCTGAAATGCCTCTCCTACTTTCCTCAGGCCCACCTACCCCTGTCAAACCAGCCTTAGCCACACAGCCCTCAACCAGCAACTCTCAACGCCCATCCCGACCACAGGGAGCAGCTGCTAAATCTTCCATTCGACCACCTATTCCTTCAGCCATCCCCAGGCCTGCCACCCGAATGGCACTCCCTAGCAGGAGCGTACTACCTAGCAAAGGCGCCCTACCTCCAGATTCTCTCTTAACTCGGAAAGGGCTTCCAAGACCAAGCACTGCAGGGCTCAGAGGTAAGGTAGAACAGACATACGAAGACGAGATCAGAAGAGGCCAGCGAGATAGCTCTGCAGGTTTACCTTGCCACCAAGCCTGGCAACCTGAGTTTGATCCCTAGATCTCATATGACTCCCCAAATACACAAACTAAATGACTCTTAGAACTACAACTGCCACGTTCATCATCTTCCTTACAGTTCCATTTGAAGATGGGAAGATTGAGTTAAGGGAGGAACGTGGGAGTAGGCAAGCGTCAGAGCTTTGGTTTTGAAGTAGCTCATGGTTTTTACCTTGTGGCAAGGCACCTGCCTTCATCCAGTATTCCTTTTTGAGGTCACTTGACCTATCTATCTCTTTTGTTAACCCCCATCAAGCTCCTGTTTCCCAGCGACCGAATCTTCCAGCCACCAGCACCACTCGGAGCAGTCTGCAGCCCCCCAGGAAAGTTGCAGTCCCAGGACCTACCAGGTAAGACTGGTGCCCCCACCCTTGTTATCTGGGCCTCCAGGTTGCTGTGCATAGCGTCCTTGAAATCTGTGTGGCAAGGGGGAATGGGAAACGGGTCCTGTTTTTTTCTGCCCCAAGGGGCTTGCATTTGGCTGGGTGACAGATGTGAGGAAGAAGAGTACTTTAAAGCAGTTTCTCCTCCTGTCTTTCCAGGTAAAGAGACCAGAACAGCAAGCAAATATTCAGTAGCAAACCACTACAGTCACAGCCTAGACTTGCCTCTGCCAGTGGGCCCTGACTCCAGCAGATTCTTGCCCAGAGACAGGAGGAAGAGATGCTTCCAGGGCTGATCTCTGAGGTGGAGACCATTGGCAGGAGAGTGGATTGAGCCTGAGGCTACTCAAACTATCTGGACTGAAAGAAGAGAGAAGGAAGTCACCTCTCAGTAGAGAAATTAAACAAAATAAGAAATGTAGGCAAGTAGCTTGTCTCCTTCCACCTGCACTCTTGTGGTCAGCCCTGGAGAGTTTGACTTCTTCCCAAGCCTTGGTTCACTGGACATTTCCATATTAGTAACCTGTGTAGCCAGCTTCCTGCTCTCTGAGGAAAGGTCTTCCTGAATCATTTCCTCTACCTGACTCTGCCTGTTTGGAGAGACACCTACTCTGTAGAACTTGTTTCCTCTGAATTCTATAACCCTTCATGGGCCAGTCATTGATAAGCTTACTCTGTTGGTCTGAAGTAAAATGAATGTATTTTTATATTTTTCTGTGTATCCAAAAGTAGATCTTAACAAATTTGGAGTAAACCTTTGTAATTCTAGCAAGAAAGCTGGAATGGTCCCCAGGCCAGGGGATCTGACTAGCTCCTAGTGCCTTGAACCTCCAGCTCAGCAGGCTGTGACTAGCCCCTTGTCGGTATTCTGTGGAACCAGGCTGCCTTTCTGTAGTTTCATGGTTTTAGGTGGTCCAGATCCACGTTAAATGTAGCTCAGTTCACAGTGTGTGAGGTTATTCTGCTAGGATCTAAGTATGCTATTATTCATATCTTAAATTGAATATTGTTTTCTGGTAAGACAATGGAGCCCCTGGAGATCTCTGGCTTCTTGTCTGCTGTACTTAGGGGATAAAGAAGTCCTTTGGTGGTATTCAGCTTCCCTGATCACCTCAGCCAGAAGATACTGGATCACTTTGCCATATCTACCTCACATCATTAAAGTTGCCTGTCTTCCCCTCTCACCTCTCCTACCAGACTTGAGGACGGGCATCAGAACTTACAAACTTCTACAATGCCCCTGTGTTATAACTTGTATGTGGTAGAACATTGCACTCATTTAAAATGAGCACAGGTTTGTGGGTATTTGATGAATAAATGATGAAACTCTTTTAACAGATTCAGCTTAGGAGCCCCCGTTTTTTGTAGCCTTTGACCTCAGGCTTTTGTTCTCAGCAGCCAGAACCAAATCGGTTCTGGATGAGTGTGGAAGAATGTTCCCTGAAGGCTGCTGAGCAAAGGAAAATGGGTCGACCAGCTGGTGCCTCCTCCCAGGCCAGTATGCCCATAAGTGCCCTTCGTAGGCCTTAAGTACCCCTCCCCTGTCCCCAGATTCAGGTCCCTTCACTGCTTTTCCCCTGTTATGGCTGACCTTAAGATTCATTTAACGCACTCACTTGTCAGCACAGAGTGTCTACACATACAGCGGCAGCTGCCATTCTCCTTTCCCTGAGTCTCTCGCACCAGCTTCTGCAGCCCCTGATATTCTAAAAATTGATGTGGGGGAGGGAGAATAGAGACAGATGCCATGTATTTGGTTCTAGAGAAGCTCAGTATAAGGCAAGAAAACTAAAGGCATGTTTCTCAGTCTTCTGCCCACCTCATCTTTCTTCATACAGCCTAGCCCAGAGCTCTGTACTAATGAAGCTTTTGGGGAGGGCTATAGAGGAGTCAAACTTACTAGCTAGTCGGTATTTGAGTTCCCTTGACCTCCTGGGCTCTACTTGTCCTGTTTTCCAAAGTCTAGCCCCCACCCTCTAGATGGACAGGTTACCACACAGAAGCCCAGAAAGCAGGAATTGCTGGTGACTTCCTGCCCTGACTGGCATCTGTAGTTACCAACAAGCCTAAGAACACCCACCTAAGCATGGCCAGCAGGTGGCAGGTTTGTAAGCAAAGCTGCTGTTGGTGGTTAAGAAGCAAAGCCAGTAGCAGGCTCTTGTGCTCTGCCCCCTGGTGGCTGGAGAGGACAAGGCATGTCCTGCCCATCAGTCTTTAGTTTCTCTCCACTCCACAGTTCTTCTCACTCCAAACCTACTGAAGCAGTATTCATCTGGCAGTGTACAGCTGCCACAGCTGCCCTTGTTCAGGTGCCTGCTTACCTCCTTCCCTTTGGCTTGCATTTCTGTTTTTCTGCCTGTGTGCTCTCCTTCCACAATGCCCTCCAGTGCACAAGCAACAACAGGAAAAGCCAGTGTTTGTTGGCCTCTTGTTATGCACTGTGAACAGTGCTAAGCACTTCACATTTGTTAACTCATTTAATCCTCAAAACCTTAATTAGGCAGATCCTGTTACCACTGTCCTCATTTTGTAGATGGAGAAACTAAGGCTCAGAGAAATTAGGTCACTTTGTTTGGTTCTAGGGTTTGTGTTCAGAATTACTACCTTATACTGCCCCATAGTAAGTCCTTTTTATTTTGTTGAATGGACCTTTGACAATCACAAAATGTGAGCCTAGGAATGATGTAGCCAGGCACGTACTTAGACCATTATGAATATTTGCTTCGTTTCTCAATAGGACAAACAAAAATGGCCCACAATTTGAGTTAGGAGGTACCTTTGCTCACTGAACACCCTTAAATTCCCACCTGCCACTCACTCCGCCCTATCCACTGAATTCTGCCCCCCAAAGCTTGCCCCTGTCAAGGACCCAGGCTGGATCCCAGCCTGCTCTGTGAAGCCACATAAGTCCCTCCTGTTCTGGGGACAGAGATCCTTTCCTACCCTACCCACCCACTTTGTCTTCTTTCAGACAGCCAGGCTCAGGGCTGAAACGGTTTGTGGGGAGTGCTGCTAGGAGGACCACAGAGAGGTAAGCTTATTGGCTAATTGGTATGTGAATACCCTGACCTCTTCATGGGGTCTTCCAGGCCATACTTGTCCTTTTTCCCAAAGTTTAGGCCTCCACCGTCTAGATGAACAGGTTACCACCCAGAAGCCAGCAATGACAGCACACTACCTGCACAGAACTAGTTTATTCAGTAGTATGGGGAATGGGAGAACACCACCAAAACTCTACCATATTTACAGTGACAATCAAACTGTACAATCTGATGGTTAGTATCAAGTTAGCATCCAGCATCTTTGTTGTTTTTTTTTTTTAAAGTCAAGTCATCAGTAGTAAAAAAAAAAAAAAAAAAAATCCAGTTAAATTTTTAACCCTTTACAGGAATTGCTGAGGGCAAAGGGCAGGGGAGAATCTGTGGCAGAAACTTCCCTGCCCATAGCCTCTTTTCTAGCCACTAGAAGGAAAGTCAGTGACAAAGTCTGAAATACATGCTTAGAGTAAAGGGGGATTCAAATGAACGGTGGTTGGCAAAACTGAGGGAGAGAAGTAGAGCGAGAGGAAGGACGGTAGGCCCCGAAGCCAGGGCTGCTGGGTACGCAACCCAACCTGCAATGGCCACATCAGACCCCCTGGGACAGGACACAAACCCATCCCAACACAAAAAGCAAATAAATAAAAATATATATTAACTCTCTCTTCACAGGGAGCTAGGGTTGGGGGGAAGGATAACAAGGAACAGGACCTGGTCCTTTGAAGAAGAGAGCCAATTCCAGGAAGGGGTTAAAAATAGAACATGTCTCAGAGGCCACAGCAGGTCAGACAAAGCGGCATTTGTCTGATTTGGGGGAGTAGGTGAGTGGACACCAGAACCCAGACTTGAAACCTGTGCTTGAGGCCCCTCAAGGCTACCAAGCCAGCTCTGTGCTTACTCTTCCTCCTGGTCCCACACACACAGCAAAGAAGCGCAACTTAACAGTGACTGGCCTTCCCCAGGAGTGGGTCAGGCGGGAGAAATGAAGCACTTTGGGGTCAGCAAACTGAGCAAACACCTGGGCTGCAGCACATGGCCAGAGTCCAGGAAAAGGAGAGGGAGCTGGGGTGGCCATCCCCCATCTGGGGGCGCAGACTTCCCCTTAAAACAGTTCATGCAGCATTTGGGGGTCCAGGGGCGCTGAGTCCTTTTGCCCCTGGCCGGACAGGGCTTTTCAGTTCCTGGGAGAGGTGGCATTGGCCGGTGAGGAGTGCCCTTTGCCCTGACCCCTCGCCAGCTGAGGCCTGCCCGGTGCAGCCTTGCAGGGGCTAGTGCCCCCAGTGCGTGTTGGCTTTGTCCTTTCCTTTTGGTGATGGCAAACGAGGGGCAGGCCCCCTAAGAGTCCCTCTCCTCCCAGAGGCACAGCAGATGGGAAACTGAGGAGAGGCTGGGAAGCGTCCTGGGAGGTCTTATCCTCTTTGGGAAGGGAAAGGGAAGTCCATTTCCAGCGTATAAAAAAAATTAATCCCTGAAGTCATGAAGAGTGGAGATCCTTTTAAATTCTTTTTTTCTTCTTTTTTTTTTTTTTTTTTTTTTTTTTTTTTTGGCGCGCCCGTACACAAATTTTCCCCCTGAAAAACTTTGTCTTGGAGATGTTGGCCCCAGGGGTCCAAAGTGCAGTGAGAGGGGTGGTGGGGAAGGGACTTGGCACTAGATGGCCTTAGGTGCAAGGCCCAGGCTCCTCAGATGGATGTTTCGTCGCTGTTGAGGGCAGGCGTTGGGGAGCGGGGGCAGGATAAAGCACAAGACAGTAGGACATGAGCGCAGCTGGGGAAGGGAAGGGAGCTTCGGGACGAAGGAACACCGGCCCAGGGTTAATGCAGGAAGTTAAAGAAGAGAAATCTGGAGATACAGGAAAGGAGAGTGGCAGAAAAGGCAGACAGAGGGTTAGCTGGAGCAGAGGAGACAGTGAGCAGCTTTCACCAGAGAAAGAAACAGAAAAGCAGCCCCAGCTCCCCACCCTCCCTTATGTTGTCCTGGGCTGGGCTGCAGCACATCAAGCCCAAGAGGTCTAATACACCCCATGGAGCAACATGGTTTCTGGGCACACAAGGGAGTTGGACTCCACTCAGCCCATCTGTCTTTCAATTGCCAAATAGAGTATCCTGTGCTCCAGCCAGGACCTCTGTGGGCAGGACCCTGTTCCACCCACCCAGCCTCACTCACTCGGAGCCCGATGAGTCTTCATCCACTGTGCCTGCCTTGATGCTCATGGCGATGGGCATAACCCCATTCAGCTGCTCCTGGAGACTCTGCCGTGGTGGTGGGCGGGGAGGAGGCCCATTCCGGCTGCCCTCGCTGGCTGAGGAGCCCCGAGAAGACCCCGTGCCCTGCTCCATGGGCAGCCGTAGGAGGCTGCTCTTCTCGCTAATGGTAGGCAGACACTTCTTTTTGAGGATCCCTGGGGACCAGGAAGATAGCTACTATGAGCTGTAGGCAGAAGGCTCTGGGGCATCCTATAGAGCCCCAGCAGGAGGGTGTAATAGATAGGCAGCTGGAGGAGCCTCACTCACCTTTGTGAGGTTGGGCTGAAGGGCCTGGAAGGTGCCCCAGAGACCCTTCCCGAGACAGGGCATCTCCGTTCTCCCGTGGACGGTCTTCGAGGAGCCCACTGCCGCCACTCTCCTTTGTTGTGGACCCAAAGTCTCCTGGCCAAGGGACCTTCCCTGACCCTGGACCCCCATCTGTGAAGGAAAGGAAGTCTGAGTCCCAGAGAGGGTAAACATCTAGGACAGCCACCACCCAAGTCCTGCTTCCCAAGAAGCGCTGGCCTCTTGGGCTTTCATTGCCCCCCAAAGGCCACAGCCCTGGTGCAGGCCCACCCTTGGGGGTACTGTGCAGGGGCAGTCTCTCGGCTCCAGGACCCAGCAGGCTGTCCCAGCCCTGCTCGCCAGGGAAGGTGGCCTCCTCCTCCTCTTCCTCCTCCTCGCTGTCTGATGAGTGGGTAGAGGCATAGGAGCCACTCTGGTCATCTTCCAGGGACAGGTCACTGTCAGAGTCCGTGTCGGGATCTGGGAGGTCAGGGAGGGATCACAACTGGCCCGCCTGCCCTGGCCCACCCTCAGCAAAAGCCAGGCCCCTGCCCCACTAGGCAGCCAGGGCCTTCTGTCCTCACCATGTTGCTGGTCTTGACCTTCCAGGAATAGGCTGTTTGGGTCCCCTAAACCAGGAGGCCCCTGGCCAGGGTTCAGTGTAGACTCCTCCCTAAGAAGACAAGACCATGCTGGAGAGGTGAGACTGGCCTCTCTGCTGGGAATCCCAGTTCCTGCCTTGTGTCCTTTAATGCTTCTAATCC